CTGAGGCTGTTCCAATCTGACAAGACACGTGGAAAGTTGCCAAAAATATTTGGTTTGTGTTTAGATAATGATATAAAATAATACAGGTATGAGATTTGTTCTAGCACAGCTACAAACCTATCTTGTAATGCACAGGTTGCAGGTTCCTCCCTCTGTGAGGACATGACAGACCCTGGAGGTCTATGGTCCTGTGTCCCTGTCCCAGTCCAAAAGTTTCAGAGTATCTGAGAGGCAGACGGAGGGAAACATCTGGGAAAGGGTGACAAGCTGGCACAGGAATAGAGAAGCGTGTGCCTGAGAGGCATGGATAGAGTGAGAGCAGGGATGTCAAGAAACTCCAGTTCTCAGGCAATTACCTGTGTCTGTCTGTCACTGTGTCACCTTGTGATTGCCTCCTGCTGGAAAGTCCCTAAGGAAAAGCTCAGAAATGGCAGCATCTGCCCTGAATGTTCCCTCTGCTCTAGTCCCATGGGCTGATAGCTCTCACACCCAGAACTGCCCCTCTCTGGCTTCAGCCTTGTTGCAGCTAAATTCTCACAGCTGCAGCCACTGTCCAAACAGCTTCCCAGCAACATCCCCAATTTTAGACAGTCTTCAGTCTATAAATAAACAAACATCAGACTCAGGAGAGATGGGGAAGGAGAAAATAGGTCTCATAGCCTAAAAGACAAACATGCTGGTCCACTGCTTCAACCCAAAGCCTTGTTATCCTGCTACTGCTCACTCCAGCACACATTAGGCCCTTCCTCCCACCCCTTTCCTGGTGCAATACCTGTGTCAAAAGGTCTTCAGAGGCTGCTAAAAAGCAGAAAAGTTCTCCCATACCTACTTTAGGAAGTGGCTTGCTTCCTAACCTGGCAGTAAGGAACAGACTGAACGGTACAAATGAAGATGTGGGAGTACCCAGACAACCAGAAAAGGAGGAGACGGAGGGGGGACCTCATGGCAGTCAGACTTTCTCACACAGGGAAGCAGAGGGACAGGCAATGATCTCTCCTCTCTGACAGTCGGTGATAGGACTCAAGGGAATGGCCTTAAGTAGTGTCAGGGGAGGTTTAGTTTGGATATTAGGAAAAGGTTTTTTCACTTTTTAGAGGGTGGTTTGACACTAGGGCAGTGGTCCCAGCACCAAGCCAGGCAGAGTTCAAGAATCATTTTCACAAAGCCTTCAGACACGCGGTGGGCTCCTGGGGACTGCCAGGAGTTGGACTTGATGATGCTTTTGGGTCCCTTCCAAACCAGAATATTCTGTGAGCTAAAGGGGAAAGACACTTGATATTCACCAACACTCCCTGCTGAAGTGTGTGTGCAGCCAAGAAAGCTGTCCCATACCATTCAGGTGTTCTGATGTTTGAGCAGGACAGCGAAGCTCGCGGCCCTGGGGTGCCTGTGTGTGCTGGAGGGGGCACAGCCGCACCCTCCCAACGGGGGCTCCGTGCTGGG